CCCGCCGAGCAGGGAGCCCGATGCGGGGCTTGATCCCAGGACCCTGGGATCATGACCTGAGCCAAAGGCAGACACTTAACGACTGAGCCACCCAGGTGCCCCAGCAGCTGTGGTTTTTCTAAGCAGGACCAATACCTTTTCAAGGAGCTGTGCTTCTGGCACATGCAGAGAAAGCAAGATACAGCCCTGAGGAGGAGGAGGAAGATGTCAGGGGAGGACAGACAGACTGCCACATTCTGACGGGCTACTCTCCATCAGGTGCTGTGCCGAGCACCGGCCCACGGGAGGTCCCACACACGGGCCTGGAACCCGAACCTGCGGGCTTCTGTATGCACTCCAGTGCTCACTGTAGCCCCCGGGGCTTTCTTGGGCCCCACCAGCCCCACCCCTGCCCCCCCAGACCTACCTGACCAGGAGGTGGAGCAGCGGCTGAGGCTGAGCCCATGTAGGCAGCGCTCCAGGGCATGCTGGATACGGTCCTCCGTGCACGTCGTGGCCCCTGGCTGCATCCTGAGTCATCGCCTACAAGGAGGACAGACGCCGGTCAGCCGGGAGAGTCCCAGGCTGGGGGAGCAAATGGCCTAGCGGAGTGGACGGCAGAGTCCATGGGCGCTCGCAGCCCAGCTCGGTCAGCCCTGCCGTAGCTCCGGCGCCCAGAGCACAGCACGGAGGTGGGGAGCTCACAGTCACTGCGGCCCAGCAGCACAGCAATGCAGGCAGTGAGGGTCAGGGCGGGATGCTGCGAGGTGGACGGGGGCAGTGGCAAGTGTCCCCATGAGTGCCCAAGAGAAGCCAGACTCCAGTGGGCAGGAGGACTCCTGGACAAAAATCAGAACCACGGGAAGAATGCCCCAGTGGATGTGCCAAGCGTGCTCTTGACTGTACTGAGTCCCTTGGAGGGAGCTTAGATGTTGCCCATCCTGCCACAGGCTTTGGCACACTCCCACTTTCCCGCATTCACCCCTTCCAGGCAGATCCAGTCGCTGGCCCGTCAGGCCAGGTCCTGGAGAGGAGCCGAGGAAGCAGTGGTCCAGCTCTGTGGAACTGGGGACAGACCAGGAAACCACAAGCAGAAGCACGGAGCTCAGAGCTGAGCCATGCAAACGACATGCAAAACTGCGAAATCCGAACGCGGACCCAGCTGCGTGACTGGAACCCCTGGCTCGCGGGGGCCCCATGTAGGCAAATCCTCCTACTTCCCCAGCCTGGGAGGAACCACGTACCCGAGGAACCATCAGCCCTCTGTGAGCTGTCCAGCGTCTCCCCACCTCAGCGATGTCCCTGCTGGGCCGTGCTCCTTGGTGTCAGACATTAACACTGAACAGTTCAATAGACCAAGAAAGAAGTCGTCACAGAAGGTGATGCTGTGAAGACAGATGGTGCTGGGAGCAGGCCAAATGGGGAGCCCACACTAGGTCGTCAGGATGCCTCCCCAAAGGGACCTTGAAGACGGACGAGGAATCGAGAAGTGAGGGGAAGTACATTCCAGAAAGAAGAGACAGCACGTGCAAAAGTCTGGGTGCAGGGACGAGCCTGCCAAGGACTGAGACACTGGAACAGAAGGCCAGGTCCCCCACCTCCCGGCTGTTGAGGTGGCAGACTGAACTCAGAAAAACCTCTCACTGGGGATTCAGGGCCGTGCATGCTGGGTGTTTCCGTGGGCGGCATCTGGCAGCCCAAAGATGTCCCTGGGCCCTTCCAGGGCAACTTTCCCAGTACACCTTTGGGCCTTTTGTCTGCGGACTCCTCCACGGGTGGCCCAGGCAATGAGTCCAATGCCACTGAGCCAGACGGGGCAGATTCCAAGCTTTCCGGCCCCTGTCTCGCCTGCCATGGGTGTGCGTCCTGGGAACGGACCCTTGTGATGAGGCCTCAGCCTTCTGCCTCCATTGGAGCCCCAATACAAGACCCTCTCCAGCTTAGTCCTACCCAGACTCAGGGCTACCAGTATCCGTTGCAGAAGCTGGAAGCTCAGGCACCTTCAAAAGGATGACTTTGGGGCATGGATGGTTGGTCGGATGGCATCAACGGACCCTCTGCCCCGCAGGCTGATTTCTCCCCGTGAGCCCCAGGGTGGGTTCTTGGAGGGAGCTCAGATGTTGCCCACCCACCCCTGCCTCAAGTCCTTCATTTCACAGTCCTTCATTGTAGGGAGGGGGAGGGGTGAGAACTAGCCACAAAAGCTGGACCGTAGCTGTTCTGCTGATACTTGGCCCTGGAGGGCTGGGGTGGGGGGGCGGGGAGGAGGGGAAGTTAGCAGTAGGAGACTGATGGGTGGATCACCTCTGGGGAGGCGGATGGAGAGATGGGTCATCTGTGGCACAGAGAAGTTAGACGACTTGCCCAAGGCCACACAGCGAAGAGGTGGCAAAGCCAGGATAGGAACCCAGGGAGTCTGGTCCTGGCCGCTACAGTGCGCTCTCAGTACAGTCAAGATGCCAGTTACCAGAAGAAAAAGAGAACCAATTCGTGTTCATACCCCCCAAAATGGAGACTCAATTAGCTGTAACATGATCTTGCTTTAAAAGACCTACCTTCCCAGCTGCTAGGGATCTTGAACCCCCCACGTCTGTCTACACCAGCTGCCCACCCTCCAGGGAGGGGATCAGGACTCACAGAAGGGCGCTACTCGCTGAACTGGGTGATCTCTAGCCTGGAGCAAGGGCTGAACCACACTGACTGGGTTTAAAGTCCCCTCCGCCCAGTCCCTGCTGCCAGGGACAATTTGGGTTGTGTCACGAGGCAGGCATGAGTCACCCTGCCCTGTTGCATCCCACTGTAAACACAAGATGCAAATGAATGTTTTCAGCCAAAACTGCCTCTGTTGCACCGCTGTCCTTAGGGGTCAGGACACAGTGTCCTGGGGCTTCTGGGAGCAGCCTTCCCAGCACCCCTCCAACGCCTGCCGGCCCACACTCCTTCCCTTCCCCAGGCCCCCAAGACTCCCATCTCCTGGCCTCAGTGTCCCCCGCGGTTCACTGAAGACAATCAAGACTTTCTCCGCAGATGGGCCAGGTAGCCCCAAGGGCACGGGGCACAGTTCCCGGCGTGCCAGCCCCCCCCCCGCCCCCCGGGCATCCTGACACCATCTAGAGTTTGCCCCAAGCTTTTCTGAGAGGCTGGACTTGCCCAAGGCACTGGGCCCTGGGAGCCAAGGCAGGTAGGAGCCCAGCGGGGGGATGCTCAGCTGAGCTGCCCTGGGGGTTAACCCAGCGCCCCGTGGCTCACCACCTGGTCCTTTGGCACCCTCATTTCCGTTTGATGAGTCAGTCATCAGCCGTTTCTTGTGACTTGTCAGCAGAACCCTAGTGGCTTTGGGGTGGAGATGAAGAGGGAAGAAGGTGGCACTCCCTCCCTCCCCAAGGATGATGTCTTTTTTTCAAACACTTGGCAGGCAAGGCCTGGCTTCCCCGAACACCTTCTAAGAGGAGCGTCTATTGTGAAATCCCAGCTGCTGCCTGGAATGGGAATGCCCCTCACCCACCGGTGGAGTCGTGTGGAAACATTCAACAGCCGGGCTTGCCCCCATCTCCAAGTTCCTCTTCTGAGCCAGTAAGGGTGAGTCCTTACTAGGGACCCTGAGCAGAACAGGGAGGCCTGGAGCTGGCGGGGGGGGCGGGCGGGGCGGGCAGTGACCGCAGAGGGCACAGAGGGAGACCTCCTCTTCACATGTTGACCTGACCCCATGATGCAAGACAGGGTCATCTTCCCAAATGCGCAGGACTAGTCGAAGGTCTGCCTGGGTCCGACTGTCCTGGGGCAGCCCCCACGTGGGGCAGAGAAGGGCGCTTCTTTCTTGGGGGATTTCTCAAACACTGTGGAATGGTAGGGGTAGAGGGCCTACCTCTCATGGGGGAGAAGCATATACCTCCAGGCTCTGGCCGGCACCCACACAGCTTCCCTGCTGTTCTGGAATAGTCCAGGCCCATGCTTTGAAGCCTTAGTTCCACAGGTGGGAATCACAGAGGCACCAAGGCATGTGGTCCTGCACTGATCCTGCCCATGTTGGTCCTGCATCACTCCTCCCTCTGCTCCTTCCTATGGTCCCCTGTGGTTTGACCTCCCCTCTCTGGCCCCCGCTCTTCTCCATGTGACTGTTCAAGGCAGAATCTCTTCTGCGACCTAATTTTAAAATTTCTCGCCATCAAAGCAGGAAGGATACACCCGAAACTAAAGATACTGGGGTAAAAAAGGGGTGAAAAGGAGAGGAGAATGAGATGGGGAGGAGGAAAAGCAACACTTCTTTGGGGCTGTTTTTAGGGTATCCCTTTGACTCTTAGAACCATAGCCAAGATTTTTACATACCCCAAATTAGAATAACTCAAGTCAACTAGGATTGCGGGGGGCAGGGGGACAAAAATCCAAACAAAACAAAGGAACCCAACTGCATTATAAATGAGTAACATAACCGCATTGAAGGGATAGGGGATGAGAGAATTAAACGGAGGAACTTTGGAAAATAGTATTTTGACTGGATACTGTAAGGCTAAAGACAAAAAGAACTACATACAAACATTGTTTTCTAATTATTAAACCTGTTTGCCATAGGGACGTGTGTTTAAAATCCAGAGACTTCTTTATGTGTGTGCTATGACTAAGCAAATAAGTAAATATATCATAGGTAATGAGAGCCAACTTCTCACTGTTGGAGAAAGAAGTTACAAAGAAGGAATGTGGGAAATCTAGAATGAACCAACTCTATTGGACTGGAGTTGGAGAAATCAGCATGAACTCGTAGTTTTTTTAATGTATTTACACAGAGATACATACAGAAGTGAAAAAGATGTGTGTCTGCTTGCATTAAAATGCATACATATATTTTCTAGCTCTGCCGAGAGAGCCAGGAAATGACATCCCAGTAGCAATGAGCACACCTAGTGCCCAGGTCTTGGTTTCTAAATACCATTCTCCACTCAAAGGAACCAGGGCTCCTTAGAGAAATGGCCGATTCCAGGACCGGGGCAGGAAATATAGAAGATGAACCTGGAACATCTTATAGTGCCAGAAAATAAGTCATTCCTTGAAAAGAGATGGGAGTGTCAGAGGATATGGGAGCCAGCTTGAAGGAGCTTCCAGTGGCCAAAGCCAGGACAATTTTAACGACAAAATAATGAAAGCGTTGGACTATAATTTGTAGAATGAAATAAATACCCATGATTCTACACTGATGTCATAAACAGTTGAAGAAAAGAATAAATGAAGAAAGAACAGATCTTCTTTATGACAGAATACCAATTAATAAATGTGGCCAGAATGAGAAAAATACAAAAATCACCATTAGGCAAACACCACAGTAATAACCGTCCTCAGTATGGATGTTAAAATCTCTGGATGAAATTCTGAGAGGGGACAGGATATTTGCATAGTCTCAGAGTATTTCCTCTAAGAAATTAATTGATTACAAGGGAAAAATAATAATTTCACAGTGGAGAAACCCACCACCACCTTAATCTCATGATCAAAGGTAATATTACCAGTAATAAGACATTTCAAGATCCTATCTCCCCTGAAGCATGGAGAGGGACCTAATGTCACTTCTGCAGGATCCTTACCAAAAAAATGCATAACTACAATTGAATCATGAGAAAACATTCTATAACATAACTGCCCAGTCCTCACCAGAATGTCAAGGTCATAAAAGGGAAGACTGAGGAACTGCCACAGATGGGAGGAAATTAAGGAGACACAATGTGGGATCCTGGATGGAATTCTGGAACTAAAAGGAGACGTTAATGGGAGGAAGATGGCTAAAATCCTAATAAGGTCCACAATTTTGTGAGCAGTATTGACCAATGATCATTTCGTGGTTTTGGTAACTGTACCAAGTCACGTGAGTTGTTAACATTAGGGGAAGCTGGGTGGATGGCCTCCATAGTTCTAAAACCCTTTCCATAGCCTTACATATCCTTTGAACATACTTCCAGGTTGTTATTCAATGCCTTGCTGTCCTTCATTACCCTGTTTCAAGTTCCCACTTCACGTGTGGTCACAGTTCCTAGTTACTGGAGGGTGGGCCAATGCAGGGCTAGCTGCCTCCCCCCTAATCCAACGTTCCTCAACTAGGGTGGAGAATCTCTGGGGCTCTTGGAGGGTCTCTGAGGGCTCTCTGTGAGAATAGTTAAACTGTGTTTTCATTTTGATGGCAATCTAGAAGTCAGTAGTTAGTATATTTTGGAGCATATTGATGACACCTATGACCAAATGTTACCATAAAAAGTCAAAGCCTGGTTTGCATTTGAGACCATCGCCTAAAAGGACAGGGCATGCAAGGTGTGTTCTTGGGGTCTACTAGGGATCAAGGCTGCACACAATGAGTTGATGGAAAATGTTTAGTAAGAGGAGAAACACTTATACCATCTGAGGAGAAACCAGAATGTAAATTAATGAAAAATGTTTTTAAAAAGTAGTGGCATTCAGTAAATGTTATCTATTAGCTATCAGCGTGCTTTCGTCGCATAAACAATTCTATGGCCCAATTCCAGATAGCTTTGAGACTGGGCCAAGAAATAAAACACTCCCTGGATGATTCTGCTGCAGTCAGGCTTGAAAAGTAATGTTTTCTATTATTCAAAGACACACACGTACTAGACTATTTGACTAGGAAAGCATCCTGGAGGCCAGCTAGTGCAACCTTCCCATTCTACAGTAAGAAAATGAAGGCTCTGAGCAGGGAAGGGCCTTGCTCAGATTAAAAAGTGGCAAGTCTATCACTACACTCTGAGCCTAGGACCCAGGGGAGTCATGGCACCCTCTTGCTTAGGTGGGAGTCAACCTCTGCCGTCCATCAGTGAGACCTCGGCTCTTCCTCAAGGTTATTTCTAGACTCCTTTTCTAAATTTCTTTTGAAGTTATCGTGTAAGTATTCAACTTCTTCATGTGTCAACTTTGTGAATTTAGGCTTTCTGACAACATCATTCGTTTTAATCCAGATTCAAAATTTTACTAGCCAAGATCGGGGTCTAGAATTTCTATATAATTTTTTTTTTAATTTTATTTATTTGACAGAGAGAGACACAGCGAGAGAGAGAGCACAAGCGGGGGCAGGGGGCAGCAGAGGGAGAGGAAGAAGCAGGCTTCCCGCTGAGCAGGGAGCCCGATGCGGGACTCGATCCCAGGACCCTGGGATCATGACCTGAGCTGAAGGCAGATGCTTAACAACTGAGCCACCCAGGCGCCCCGGAGAATTTCTATATAATTTTTAAAAATTGTTTCTGAACCTGCGATTTTAGCCCTTCTCTTTATCGAAATGTTGTAAAATTACATTTTCTTTTAAAATACAGATCTGGATCAGATTTGTATTACCTACTTTTACACTACATCACAATTCTTTCAATAATTCTTGTTGACATTCACAGTAAATGTAATAACTGAAAATGGCAGTGTTTGGTCTGGGGGGAGGCAGCAGCTTTAGGATTGATTTACTTCATTGCTTGCTGGTTATTTTTGTTTGTTTGTTTGTTTGTTTTTAAACTATGTCATCCCTAGTTACGAGTTCTTTATTTTGATTCATGTCTTGCTCAGCTGGAGCATTTCGAGTAACTTCACGATGAGTGTGTGGGTGAGGTAGTTTCTGAGAGTTTATATGTCACATGTCATTTCCTTCATTGAGGCTCATGATGAGTTCTACCTTTGCCGATTAAAGAGCTGGCATAACTCAAAATTTTTTCACCTTCAAAATGTTTATATTGAAACCAAAAATAATCAACCAAAGACATGGCTACCACAAAGAGAATTAGGTAAGGTGGTCTGGTACAAATACAGAAATTTGGTACAAGACAGAAATTAATTATTGTTCCATTATATGAGTAAAAAACAGAAGTTGCATTGGAAAAAAAAGGCCCTATAATAGCAAGAAAAAAATAATAGGAGAAAATAAGCTTTAAAAATAGGCAAAATTTTGATGAAATAAAACTTTTGGAGGGATACAAAAGAAGGCAAATAAATGGAAATACATATGCTATTATGAGACAGGAATATTCAGTATCAAAGAATTAATTCAAAATGGATCAGAGCCTCAATGTAAAGAGCTTCGGTGATAAAACTCTCAGAAGAAAACATAAGAGAAAGCCTTCCTCACACTGGATTTGTCAATGATTTCTTGGAAATGACACCAAAAACATAGGCAACAAAATAAAAACAGATAAAGTGGACTTACACCAAAATCTAAAACTCTGCCCATCACAGTCAAGAGAGTGCAAAGGTAACCTACAGAACGGGAGAAAATATTTGCAAGTCATATATCTGATGAGGAGTCAATATCCAGAATATATAAAGAATTCCTACAACTCAAGAACAGCAACAACAACAACAAAATTTTTAAAAATGGACAAAGGACTTGAATAAACATTGCTCCAAAGAAGACACCCATATGGCCAAGAGCTACATGAGAAGATGCTCAACATCACTCATCAATAGGGAAATGCAAATCAAAACCACAATGTAAGGAGCGCCTGGGTGGTTCAGTTGGTTAAGCGTTTTAAGCATCTACCTTCGGCTCAGGTCATGATCTCAGGGTCCTGGGATCAAGCCTCACGTCTGTCAGGCTCCCTGCTCAGCTG